GGTTTACAGCATGCTCTAAATGAGTTTCATTCGTATTGTGTACAATGGAAACTGAACGTCAATGTAGACAAAACAAAAATTATGATTTTTTCGAAAGGTCGATCTGTTAAAAATGTATTTTACTACAATTCTGTTATTGAAACTGTGAACGAATTTAAATATCTAGGTATACTCTTTTCCCGATCAGGTTCATTCTGTAAAACTAAAAAACATTTATGTGAGCAAGCTCAAAAAGCCATGTATGGAATCATACGAAAAATTAGACAATTTAATTTACCAATAGATTGCCAGCTTGATTTGTTCGATAAAGTTGTCACTCCAGTACTTCTGTATGGATGTGAAATATGGGGTTTTGAGAACATTGAAATAATTGAACGCGTTCATCTCAAATTTTTGAAATATATTTTTTAATCTAAAAAGTAGTACTCCTAGATATATGGTTTATGGTGAAACGGGTCGCTTCCCTTTGTATAATTATAACAGTGTATTCAAGAATGATATCCTATTGGGCAAAATTATTGGTAAGCCCCGAAAATAAGATTGTTTATGTTACATATAGACATTTATTTGAACAGTTTTGTTCAGGATGGCATAAAAACCCTCGTCTAAGGTCAAACTGTCAATGTGTTTATCTGTTATTTGTTTACAATTCATCTTCCTCATTATTAAGTGTAAATACATGATAAATAAATGTAGATTTTTGGTATATTTAAGAGAAAATCATCTAATGATGGACTCCCGTACCAGTGCACAGGACGTATATTGCGATGTGACCTGTGTAAGACCGCTGTGGTACAGATGCACTGTGATACATGTCTTGTCAACCTGTGCACAGCTTGTGTAGGAAAACACATGGTATCTGATGAATCCAAGGACCACAAAGTCGTCAAATACCAGGTCAAGAAATCCACCCCCCTTTACCCTGGATGTACAACTCGTAGCAAAGAAAGGTGTGAAATGTACTGTTAACAATGTGACATTCCTGTTTGCAACACTTGCATTGCATTGCATCTGACCAACACTTAGGGCATAAGTTGTCAAAAATTTTCCAAATTGTGGAAAAACAAAAGAGCAAGATACTTCAAGAACTAAATGAAATAATTTTTCCAACCTACAAGGACATTGCCTCTGATGTACAAAACAGAATGAGACAGTTAGAAAAGGAATATGGAGATCTCTCAAAAGCCATTACAAAGCATGGAGAGGACTGGCACAGAGAAGTTGACAAACTTGTCAAGAAACTTAAAGCTGAAGTTGATGAGATGAAAAACACACAGTTACAAACTCTACAGAAACATCTGGATGAAATAAACAAGACAATGTCTGACATCAATTCAGTTGATATCACTATAGACACGAATGATTTGTCAAAACTATTCAGTGTCAAATTCAATGTAGACAAATACAGAAAGCTTCCACACAAAATTGCGCCGTCTTTACCAAAATTCATGCCAAAACAAATTAAAGGAGAAGAATTCGCTAAACTATTTGGAGCCTTATCATCAAGCTCTACAGCATCAGATGAGCTTGGCTACAGAATGAAGACAATACAGAAATCACCAGAAACTGGATCCTCTACTCCAGTCACACAGCTGCTTGATGAACCAGAGACTGTCACCACCATAGACACAGGGTATGAAAAGCTTTTCAGTGGGGCCTGTCTGAGTTATGAAGAAATCTGGACAAAAGGAAATGAAAAAACCATGAAACTCTACAGCATCAATCTGAGATCACTACTCAAGTCAATCACAACCAAGTCAGGGTACATACCATATGACATAGCAGTGACAAAAATTGGAGATTTAGTTTATACTGATTATGGTGACAGAACTGTGAACATTGTGAAGAATAAAAAGATAGAGGAGGTGATCAGACTACAGAACTGGAGACCTCTAGGTGTCTGTAGTACCTCCTCTGGTGACCTCCTGGTTATCATGGACAGTTATGATTACAAACACACAAAAATTGTCCGTTACTCTGGCTCCACAGAGAAACAAACCATTCAGTTTGATGATGAAGGTAAACCTCTCTATTCATCTGCTTATTATGACAGATACATAACAGAGAGCAGGAACCTGGATATCTGTATGTCTGACTGGGAAGCTAAAGCAGTAGTGGTGGTCAATCAGGCTGGGAAACTGAGATTCAGGTACACTGGACATACTACTGCTCCAAAGAACAAACCATTCAATCCACGAGGAATCACCTCAGACAGTCAGAGTCGCATCCTTACAGCTGATTACGATTATAACAATGACTGTGTCCACATCATAGACCAGGATGGACAGTTCCTCCGTTACATAGACTGTGGACTGAGTGTACCCATAGGACTGTGTATAGATACAAATGACAATCTGTTTATTGCTCAACAGGCAAACAAACAAGTGAAGAAAATTAAATATCTGAAGTGAATATTTCTGCTGTACTGTAGTTAAGCATTTTAAAATGGTAATTCACAGTTGAAATCAATCATCATTGAAGTTTACATTTAATATCTTGTCAGAGCTGAATTAAATGATGAATGTGAAAGATAAGCTGAAATAAAAATTGATAGGTAATAATGCATAGACAGAAAAAGTATATTATATTGTAATCATATATTTACATTTATTTGTCTTTAACAAATTCCTTACAAATAAGAATTATGTTCTTTTTCTCATTTATTACCATTGATGAGCATGAATATCTCATTTCTTATGTCATAATACCATATTTTACGTCAAAACTATAGTGCAATCTGTTTTGCTTTAAAAATGCAGTTGAATGGCGTAATTTGTGGTAACTTATCAGAAAATAATGTGAATATACGAAATGAGTTCATGTCCTCATGAATTTTCAAAAATGAAATTTAATTCATAAAATGTAAAATAAATAATGTACTCACCTATAATAATCTATAATCAATATATTTCAAAATTTTGTCATGTATTAGCTATGGAATGTACTTAATGCCAAGCATCCTTAGGTGTTGAAGACTGTGTTAAATGCTTTTGAGGATGAATGAAAACTAACGATAACTTAGATAACTTTGTTCATATTCTAGCAAAAGAATTATCTATGTAAAGGATTTTTACATTCATTTCACTGTATGATATATTTGTTACACAAAGTAAAAGTCTATTTGTGATAACATTATCTTATTAAAGTTTCTCCAAACTTCAATTTTACTTTGTATATCAAGGAACAAGAAAAATCTTAAGAAACAAGGCTAAGCAAAGGCCTCTGTAAAACATAAAATTTCTGGTCAGTTTTTGACATTTTCTATTTATTGGACGATTTCTAAATAAGGAAGTCTAGAACGATAACCGTGAACTGCTATAAATACACAGAATAAACAAGGCACTAATCCTTCTGACCAATCAGATAAGAGCATTTAGACAAACCCATGAGAGAATAAATAAAACATGTGGTTTTTTAGTTTTTTGCTCAAAAGATTTTTTTAGAATAAACTTTTTGTAAACTTTATGCGCATTTTGGGAATAAAATAATATTAATGACAATTCTTCCGTGAACAAACACGACTTAAAAGCTTGGAATACGTTTTAAATGGGATCAAAAAATCTGTCTCTTGGAGTTAGCAAACCCAAAACTTTACTTACGTTAAAAAATTGATATAAATAGGGTAAATTTTCAGTTTTTAGAGCCTGACATAAAAATCTTATCGAAAAGATAACAGTCTTTATAATTTTTAAGTGTTTACTACAGAACACTAGTTGTCCATGCAGTTTCTGATATGCGAGGTAAGATATTGGGATAAAATGCATTCATGTATAATTACAGGATTCTCTTTTCTCCACGTTAAATGCCTTTCCTTATTCCCATTTAAAGTCTGCATAGCTTTAAGTATTCGGCGCTCATGAAACCCGTGATAATGCAAAACTATATGTGTTTACTCCATACAATAAACACTTACAGTTTAAGTTGATCTATACACATGGACTTTAAACATTATCGATGAAAATCGGACAGCTAAGCAAAATTATATTTACCTTCATATAATATATTCTGGTAAATGTTATTATTGAACTTGGTAAAAACTTGCTGGTGTGATCTATACCTCTGTAAACGATAAAATTCTATCGTGCATTATTTTTTATCTTTACTGATATAAAAATGTCATGGTTGTTCGCGGTAAAGTCGTGGGGAATATCTTATTCTTCAAAAGTTTTCATCTAACTTCTACAGATTTTTTGTTCAAAAAATCTTTTTGAGGAAAAAAACAAAAGCACATGTTATCTTTTTGTTCTTTTAAAATATGTTTTGGGGTATGTAAAAATGCTGTTGTCTGATTGGACAGAAAAATAATAACATGTACTTGATGTACATTTATAGCAACTTTTGGTTATCGTTCTTGACTTCCATATTTAGAAATCGTCCAGACCTGTTTATAGTACATAAAAACAGAGACATATAATACTATTATATGTCTCTGATATAAATAAAGACATAAGAAGTTTTTGTATAGAAATGAAATAAGCCTCATTTTCGGTTATCAATTTGATTTCTTTCAGCGTAAGCATCCTTTTTAAAACATAAGAGAAGGATCAAAACAAAATAAAATATTTTACTTTTAAATGAAAAAGCCATTTCAATGCTTTTAAATCAATAGTTAAAAACATATATTTATGTTTTAAAAATCACATGGTACATTTACAAAGAATGAAATGTTCTGCAGTGTGACATAAAAAAAAATAAATCATAATGCAGCTTATATTTCCATGAAGCGCTCTTATCAGTAATAAGATAATACTTCAAATGGTTTTTAAAAACAATAAAAATATTCAATATCAGATCTCAATAACTGAGTTTTAAAAGTCAAAAACAGATTCATATATGGTACATTATTTAATACAATTTTATTAGAAACCAATTTATAAAACTTAAAATAGGCTTAAAAAACAATAAAAATGTTCAATATCAGATCTCAAAAACTTGAATTTAAAAAAAATGCAAAATATGATATATTGTATATATTACATAATTAGATACAAATACAACCAAAAGATCTTATTAGAAATAAATACATGTAGAGCATGAAACAACAAAATACAGATCTTCATAACACTGATACAGTAATACAACAATGAAATGTAAAGATGGAATAATATTAGAATATCACATAAAAATATCAACAAACACAAAGTCATGTAAATTAAATGTGCAGGAATTAAACTGCATTCTGAAACAATTAGAAGAAAACTGTTTAAACTTCAAAAGAAATAAATGGGGTATGTTTTGAATGATATCTTCCAGTACTTAACTGTAAATTGATTTAGCTGCCGATTTCTGATGCATGAAATCTTAAATATTTGGAATGGTCTGAAGTCATGTATTGCTTTTAAAAACAAATTCTAAAACAAGCCGAGATAAGTTCATTAAATACTCCTTTATAATAAAATAAATATTTGTGTATTGAATAAATGAATACACAACCCTGAGATTTTTTAAATGATGTACATTGTAAACCCTGTTTATTCCCTAAAACAGAAACAAAAACTTCGATCATAAAACTGAGCACATTATCTTTTCACAAAGAAACGTATGTCACAGCATTGCACTCATTGCATCATGGACTCAGTTTTCATATGAAATTGCTGCATTGCATCATGGGATTCAGTTCAGATAAGGTTGTCATGTGACATTGCTGCATTGCATGATGGGAGTCTGGATCATTATCACAGTCAGCTTGATATTGTCATTTACCCCTGGGGTGTGGCCTGATAATATCATGATACACCTTTCTGCAACCACTGAAATATAAAATTTACAATCTTAAGCAAATTTTTCACATTCTTTATCATTAGAAGTATACAGACATAATTATTTCTTAAAATAAGAAATGGGGTAGGATGGGTAAAATTGAGAATTCTTTCAGACTTGGAGAAGTTAGAATGTATAAATTAATATAATTTACCTGTGACAAAGGGAGGGTAATTTGTTCATTTTTCTTCAACTTGCTAAATTCATCTGAAATTTAGAAAAAAAAAAGTGATATCATAAACAACAAGAGGCCCATGGGCCTTATAGGTCACCTGAGCATCAAGCAACTTTCCAACCATTGACTTTGGTTGATATTTTAAACCAGAGGCTATGGCATACACAGTTTTGAAAGAGGCACCATTGCTCATCATAACACTTAGCATGCTTAGTTTAGTTACCTAATACCCATAGGCAGAGCAGAGAAAAAATGCATTTCAACAAATCAGTAATATTCAGCAATAATCAGTAGTGCCCCGACCCACAGGAACCCCTGACCCTAGGTTCACACATTGCACAAATTTGGAAAAGGCACCCTTGCTGATCATAAATGTTTGAAGGCAGTAATTCATTGTCAGTATATAATTAGACCCCCTCTCCGCTATGTTACCCTTGACCCACATGACCCAGGGGCCTTGAAATTCACAATTCTGAATTAATGACCCTTGGTTATAATACCTATGCATTTGAAAAAAACTTTAATCTACGTTTGAAGTGATGAATTTATTTTATATCTGTATGTGCTTTGTGCAATTCAAATATGCATACTTTAAAAAATAAACTGAGATATGTGATCCATGATATACTGAAAATTGATCCTTTCCTTCTTATTCCTATAAACCCCATGCAATAAACCTGGACACATACAAAACAAATTATATCAGATTATATCAGATTTATTGAGGTTTAAATTATTCAGTATATAATGAACTACAAGTGAACTATAAAGATGGTTATAATTAATCAAAAAAGTTCTTGATCATATCAGCAGTTTGCATAAAACATCTTAATCTAGAATCATACAATATATTTATGTGCATATATATAATATAGTATCTATTTGTTGACATATTAATCATTGTACAAAAATCACATATATCATCATGTCATAATTTCAATCTGCATTCAACAGTTTTGTCCAAAAGCAATGTGTTAACCATTTCATAAAGTGTTATGATCTAAATTATTTTGTTTAGTCTTGAAAGCTAAAAATACTTGATAGGTAAAAACGTTTTGCAAATGTCTGAAATTTTACCATAAAACAATATTCAAAGCAATTATCACTTTTATTTATATACCATTTGAAAGAAGCAGGTTTACCTCCCTTTACGGGCTGGCCATTGACCCCTTCTTTCCACACTACTTACCTTCTAAAAGTGTTGCTTCATGTAGGTGATTTCAGACACTTACAACATTAAAAAGATATTATGACATCTGACTTGATAATTTTTTTTAAACCAAATTTGAGTCCATTATACTGTAGTAAGTTGGCATATTTTTATGAATACATTTCACTGTCATTGACATCTGCACAAGATGTAAAAAATTAACCATTGAGTTATATCATAAAAAGTGTATTGAACAGACAAATTTAATGCAACCGAACAAGATGAAAAATATTTGAAATCATTAAGTACATTGTTTAAACCATCTTGCTCTGGCACTTAGCATTTCAAAGCATGGCAAAAACAAAAGAAAACATAAAAATTGCATAAAAATTTCCTATATCATTAAATACTACATATATAGTGTGATTTAGTAATCGAAATTTAAAAATTGTGCAATTGGAACTCATATTTTTATATTTCACAGAAACAGCTGCATTATCATTGATCATTTTTAGAACAACTTTTTTAACCTTACATACCGAAAACGAAAAGAAAGATTAAAAGTTGTTCATATAATGAGATACAAAGATCATAAAGGTTTTAGGATCATGAAACAGAATAACGAATGTGTACTTAAGGATTTTCCTTCAAAAATTCAATTATCTTAGGTGCCTCTCTCACTTTAGATGTGATATTTGTTTACTTTAACAACAAATATGTTTCGCCAAGCAACATTAAATATGGCAAAAAAAAGAAGCAGAAATGAAAGTGATCCATAAGTTTTTAATTACATTTCCATAGAAAGGAATATTGAAAAATTATCAGTGTAATTACTCTTCTGTGTGGGAGATAAAAAAATTTGTTTGTGGTATGCATCTTTAAAGAAATATGGATGATTGTGAGGGTGAATATGGTTCTAATATGACATTTATCAAAATTTAAAAAAAATTGTCCATGTCGAGTTGAGAAACATTTCAGTATTAGCAATAAATAATAAATAAAAAACTTGATAAACTAAATAACAAATGATTTCTTAAATATGACTTTGAACAACAGAATGTAGATAACACTATTGTTTTACATGTAACACAATGAATAAGTTTATGCAAAACAAAAAAAAAACAAAACAAAAAAAAGATTAACATTTTACAAGTAACAGCACATTTTTAGAGACAGAATGTTCCTTTTATATGTCCACTGGAGCTAGAGTTTGTTTTCAAGGAGAAAAGTATTCAGGATGATTACAATGTCTTATGTAGATATACTGATAGTCACTTGTGATATAGTTTACAAAGTAATTCAAGCAATGTAACTTATATGAAAGTACATAATCATAAATATCATAATAATTGCAGAGTTAATCATATTATTGTACAATAGCTAATAAATACTTATGTATAGTACAAGAATGCTTTCTAATATATCTACTACTACTAAAGTAAGATAATATATATTCTAGAATTAATATACCCCAAAAATTGAGGATTTAAATGCCCATGAGATGAAATGTTAATTGTTAAACTTTATACATTTTACTGAAACAGATACATGTAGTACATTAAATACACAAAAATATGTAATATTGTAAAGAGTAAAAATTAACAAAATAAAACATACGAGATAGAAATAATACTTGATCAATTGTAATTTTATCCAGACTTAATGGAATCAATATGTGTGGCCACAACAGAAGACATGCTATAAAGAAACAATAATTATAAATCAATCAAATCTTGCAGACATACCTGAGTGTACATTATTAACTTTTCAAATAATAGTATATCATTCTTATTCAAAATCTTTATAGGAACACAATATTTCACTTGTAGTATATACTAATTAGATTATTACAGAACTGTTAACATGTGAATTTGCAATTAGTTAGTTAATAAAATTACCTCCTATACCAACTGTAACAGTTTTTCAATCTGTTGTTGATTTTAAATTGTGGATGAACAATACAATACATAAATTAAAGATAATGAATAGATAAGTAGACAGTACAAACTATAAATAAACTACTGGATAAATAATTTCATCTCATGGGCATTATAACTCTAAATCTTTTTTGTCCCAATAACTTCCAAATAGCAAGTAAGTAATTTAATCAATGCGATTTTAAATACATTTATATATAAGAAACATATTGAAAGTTATTGGGACAAATAAGGCAGTTGATGAGTGGCAACCCTTGTTTTGTCCAACCACTCTTGGCAGTTTGTAAATATTTAGCTTCCATTGGAAACTAAATATTTACATACTGCCTGTTTTATGATCAGGAGGGTTTATAATACTATACATTGTAATTAAAATGCAGTTCTGTCATAGAATAGCTAGCTTGCTTAAGTCAAATCTGCAGCACAATAAATCATATTATGGTCAGACCAATAAGCCTGAAGAACATCTGTTTCTAAATCAGTAAAGTTGGTAAATATTAGGTCTAACTGTGTCTTATTCTTTGTGGTTACCTTGTTAATGACTTCCACACAACCAATTTTTTCTTTCATAAAGTTCAGGAAATGTGCATATTGACCTGTACTTAAATCCAAATTAAAATCTCCCATTATCACAGTCTTTCTATCTTTGTCAATGAAGGGGAGCAACCTGTTTGTCAAGGTATCGTAAAAGAGTTGAAGAGTACAAGAAGGCTGCTTGTATAAAACTACACACTGTACTGGAGTATTGGACGGCATAATCGAAATGATGGAAAATTCAACCGATTTGGAAGTAAATGAGTTGTATGAAAGACACTGTAATTGATTTCTCAGATATATGACAATACCATGATGTGGTCTGCTCTGGGAAGATCTTGCATCATTCCTGAACATTGTAAAACCTTCTAAAGTATAGTCTTCATCAGAATCTAATTCCGAAAGCCAAGATTCAGCTATACCAATAACATCGGCAGCCAAAACACTTGGTTCTGATTTTATATCAAGAAAGTGTTTGTGTAGAGATCTGGCATTGTTGAACAAAAATTTTATGTCTTTACATACCGAGTAAAGTGGTGTGTAAGAGAGTTGCAATCTATTTTCTCGCAATCTTTCCATCTCTTTATCAACAGTATCATCTTTTGAGAGACTTTTTTCATTGAAATCCAGAATGAACAGACCATCAAGTGACCTTACTCTTGAGAGTGCAACATAATGTATATGAGGAATTTTGCGCTGCTTTGTCTGTGCTAAGCTGATTACTGCCTTTGAAAGAGTTGCTCCTTGTGCTTTGTGTATTGTTTTTCCAGCAGATGGTTGCAGGGGAAACTGAACTCTCTCATATGTCTTCCTGTTATAAACAAATGTTCTTTTAGCTTCAAATATGGGAGTCCATGTTGTGTTCACATTTGTGCTGAACAAATGGTTGTATTGATGTCTTCTGGAAATACCTATACTTGATTCAGCAAACAGAACCCATACTATGGCAGGTCTTAATTGTGATTGTCTATATTCAATGTATTTCACAACACATGAAGCACCATTTGTCAATCCATCTGTAACATCAAGATTCACTGATATGTCATACAGCATATCCACAGCAATAACAAGATTTGTTCTTAATTGACCAGTAGATGCTGGGTTTTCTGGCAAATTTTGAACTAGTTTCAATTTCACTGATGCAGCAAGTTTTGTCTGTGATAACACATCTGTGTCTGCTCTTACATTTACCTTAACTGTCGACAGGTTCTCTATTAAACTGTTATTAAAACAATCAACAAACTTGTTCTCAATAAACAGATGAGGAGCCTGTTTAGGATAGTTTTCTGAGTCTTGCCTAATGATGCGTTGAGAAATAAGTTCTTTGTCTTCATCTGTCATCTTGTTTTCACGAAGTCTATTCAACATTTCAGCAAATCTGAGGTCATCCTTTTGTCTCATAATTTCAGAT